GTCTATTTCAGGGAGGTGTTTGTTTGAATACTGCCAGCTTGCTCCTCAGCGTAGGTTGCTCTCAGCTGATAGACCTGTTTGGCGAAGCATGACTCATGTAGGAAGCCATAGGCGTAGACTCCTGCTTCAGACCTCTGAAATTCAAATCTACACCTGATACTTTCTCTCTGAACTTTGATTTGTCAACAGCCCGCCCTGAGGTGCTGCTCTGAATTTACAGTACCAGTGGCAGAGTTAACTGAAGGGTGTGTTGTTTTACATGGAAAGAAACTCAGCCTTGGCTTCAGGTGCAGGTTACTTGCAGGACAAAGTCTTGCTAAAAGGCTCAAACGATTTGTGGCTCAGCTTAAAATATAACAGTTGAATATATTTAAAAAAAACTGCTGTCAGAAATAGAAATAAAGATATAGATAAAAAGACATAAATAATGATCTAGGAGAGCTACAGAGGAAGCACAGGCCCTTTGTGATTCCTTTCAAAGGACAGGAAATTATCTTATCTTCATCTTTATGAGCAGTGAATCAAGACAGATAAAAGTCATTGTCTTCTCACAACTCAAGGCTCATGTGTGTCATTTCTGCTTTACCTGCTGTGATAACTGTCAGTAGAAATGAAACAACTACTACTATTACTATTAAACCACTGCATACCTCCTGGGACATAGGCCGTCAACAAAGGTTCTCCAAGTATCCTTGTTCTGAGCCGACCTCTCCAGCTGTTCCCAGGTGTGGCCAGTCCTCGTGGCATCCGCATTCACGTCTGGGCGCCATGTGTTTCATGGTTGGACTCTCTCTCTTTTCCCATGGCGGCTCCACTTGAGAGATTAGCTTATGATGTTTGAAGCAGGTTTACGGAGTGTATGTCCCGTCCATCTCCAGCGCTGTTTTAGAATCTCTTCTTCTGTTTGCTGTTGCTTAGTTAACACGCTACGCGTGTTGTTTTGACTCAAAGCAAAAGCGCCAAAACAACGCATGTAGACTGTTAACTTGTACGCTGGACCACTCCACAGATTCGAAGTTCCCACTATAACTGGACCAAGGTCATGGTATCGGGGTTAAGCCACAGGTGGGCTATATAATTATTTATTAGGCTATATTATTATTTATTAGAGAGAGAGCCAAACAAAGGAGTCAGGTAGAGGGTCTGCAGCTCTGGGGTCTAGTGTTGCCTGAAAGCAAAATCATCCTTTCAGTTTGTATATAGTTTTCCATGTCAGTGTGTGGTCTATAGCTTAGCACAGTTTGGATGAGAGGAACTTGCATAGGAGGCGAGGTCAGAAGATGAAGACATCAGAGGCTGTGTCCATCAAACTGCGAAAAGTAAAAATTTGGACTCTAGTTAAAGATAAAAGTAGAAGTCCTTCACTTTTATTCCACTGACAAATTTAAGAATAAAGACTATTTATCCTTTGGCTCTTAATTTTGTATGTTCTTACAGAATAATCACTGAATAGATTATGAGGGTTTTTTTTTTAGGTATGCACATATGACAGATGTTGGGTCAATCCATATCTCTTATTGGTCATTCCTTCTCTATGTGATTAAGTTGCTCTTAAAAGTGCCTTTTACACTTTGCTGTAACCAGGAGGAAGTAATTTATTAAACGTCTTATTTTTCGCAGTCAGTGAAGAACTGTTTTGCTCTTAATTTGGCATTTGAAAGTTTAAGTGTAATTATTATCAAGCGACTTACTCCTCTAACATTTTAGAGCAACTTTTCTACTGATCTGATGATGAATAATCGCATTCATGCTCAATCACCTGCCCCAATGTTCATTCTTTAAAATAAAAGCCTCAGTGATATGTAATTCTATATTTTGATTAATTTTGAAAAACTTTCATTCTGTTGGGTGTAATCCTTAATATCCAGTATCTAGTAGCATGAAATAAAAGGCAAACTAAACTGGAGCAGCGAGGAAGCTGCTGAGAGACTACGTACATCAGATAAATAAATCTAATGAGGAGTGCAGCACACTGAGGAGTGCAGACACATAGTAGAAGAAGTGACGACAAACTAAATCCAGCTTTGATTTTTTTTTCCCAACGCTGACAAATATAAGAAAAAGAATCTAATGTAATCAAACGCAAGTAGGCTAAAATGGCCTATTTCTGAAGTATATTTTTATATTGCTTCAGTTAATGTATCAGTGATATTTTTTACACACTGCCCAGAACATGTGCTTCCTGTTTCTGTACCGCAGCCATCTCAGATCTACTCTTCAGATCTCTGGAGCTTTCTTACCCTTCAGAGCATTTTTAAGTCGAGAGAAGTCTGATGAAGAGTTGAATAGCTTTGAAGTCCACAGGTTTGCTTCAGTTTGTTAAAGGAGCCTGGATGCAGCAAGCAAAAAAATAAAAAATAAAAACTACAAAATGCCAACCAAGGATTGACCTGCTGAAAAATGTGAGCACCTAAAACCAAAAGCAGCTGCATCTGTCAGCCCCGCACACTGGTTTATGATCCTGCACACGTCTCCCTCCACCTAACAAAGCTTTGCTCAGGCCAGTGATTTAAAGCAGCCATGACAATGAAACAGCTTTTAATATAATGAGCCTATGCCACAATATTTGCTGCGTCATCTTTGTGCAGTCATCATCTGTCACACTGAGCTGTAATGTGTCTGATGCATGCTTTTATTGCAGCCAGGTAGATTGTTAGGAGACTACAGTTAATTTTGTTCTGTTCTGCTGCTCTGGTTTGTTTCCAGCTCATCTTATTCTGTGCAGCGCTGCTGTAAACAAATCACCTCTGCTCCCTCTCGGCTCAGATGGGAGTTTTCCTGTGTGACTTAGGGATGGTGTAATTGCTGATCCTGTGGCTCCACAGCCAAACATCCTATGTCTGCGATCAAAAGGGAAACTTTAACTCATATTTAAAAAAGAAATTTTTTAAGAGCTTTTGTTTTAGTTGTGTGTTGTGTTTTCAGTTGGAGTCTACCAAAAGGAAATGTGAAAGGCAGTCAATGTGGAAACGTGAAAGGGGGTGGGGGGTGGAGGGGTTATCTGGTGCAGGGTGGACCTTGTCTTGACTTGTCTCTTTAAGTACAAGATCCTGCTCCCAAAGCAGGGACAGAAACTATAAAATTACTCTGTCAGCTTGGACCGGTCTTGGCACGCAGAGCTTCTTGTTTTCTGTTTTCTTAACTCTCCGCAGTCTGATGAGGCCGTGTTGGAGAGTGTGATGAGCCTCATGTGGTAATCCCAAGAGACCAAAACAGGATGATCTTGCTAAAGAGCTGTCGAAAGAATTTCCTGAATGCTCTGCTGCCTTTTTGAGAATATCAGCATTTGAGTTGTCACAGGAGTTAAAGACAGTTCTTCTTGGGTCACGTATGTGTCACCGTACTGTTGTAACATCACACTGAGGCAACAGATAACAGGTTTAGACTGCAAATACAGAGCAGCAGCCCCTCGTGTTTCCCTTTATGGAAGTGAGCATATTGATTCTCTTGGCTAATGCATTCACCAGTCTTGCTGTTTTCTTTTTTCTCCCCTAAGTGAAGTTCAGTCTGCCTCTCAGTTGCTTTACAGAATCTTAAGTGCACACTGGCTCCAGTTCAGCGTCCTCATACTTCGTCCTCAGCCCATTGTGCTACCAGATTTCCAGGGAAAGATCTCAGTAAATTTTTGACTTCTGTTACTCCATTGTAAACCTTTGTGTTGCCCTCATGTGCCTGTGACTATCAGTCTGGGAATGAATACACTGTAAGTGTGTGTGTGTGTGTGTGTGTGTGTGTGTGTGTGTGTGTGTGTGTGTGTGTGTGTGTGTGTGTGTGTGTGTGTGGAGATAAGAGCCTGTTTGCAAATAATGACAAGATTTCCATTGCCACCCTCTAAATATTTGAGCCAAACATAGTTCAGGGACCAGTGTAGAAGCACGGCCCTGTGAGTCAGAACTACAGTAAGTAGCAGCTGAAGCAACAGTGTGTGAAACTGCCTGACTGCTGACTCTGCAGGGTCAGGCATAGCACATACTTGAACCCTGCAGAAATACATTTATTTGGGATTCCAGAGCGTCTATGTTTAATGTCCAAAGTTGGAGGTTTTGGAGAGAAAAGATAACATTCCAGCACAGTGATGTGAGATTTAGTGCAGCAGGGGGAATCCTCAGAGGGCTGGGTTTGTGTGCAGATGTGCAGCACTGTGAGTTTCAGGTCACGCATTATTCAGGGATTATAATGGCTGACATTTTGTTGTTGGCAGGTGCAAACCTTGCACTTCCAGTTTAGTCAGTTTCCTTGTTGCAGCTTGATTTGGTTGGTAATATTTTGTTTATTTGGTTCTGAAATGATTTTAATAACTATTGGTCCTCCAGTACTGTTCAGTTTTAACTGTAGAAACAATTCAATTTGCCATAAATCCCCAATATTTGTATAAGATTGAAACACTTCCCTCTTTGTGGTTCTTGAACAGAACCTTTTTTCAACTGTGAAGGTGGAAAAACATGTTTCCACCCTGTGTGAATAGTGTGGGTTTTCCCCCCTGCGACTGAACACAGAGAGCATTTACCTTGCAAACGTTAAAAAGAACCACACCCAGAGATTTTCACTTCATCCATTCAGGTCATAGGAATCCGTGATTTCTTTCTTCTGACTGCCCTCTGGTGGAGCCTCATTACTGAGCTTGTGTTTGTGTAGCTGTAATTACAAAGACAAGTCTGTTTATGTTGGATTACTCACATGAGAAAAAGTTTTCTTAGATTAATGTTGTGTCTAAGAAAAATAATCAAAAACGTCATTTTAAATTCCTAGACTGAAAACAAGCTCCAACAACAAACTGCTGATATTCTACACTTGATACTTTGCTTTATTCTACTTTGTTTGCTCTGTCGACTATAATGTTCTTGCATATTCACTTTGATTTATGATTATATGTTGATGTTCAAAACAAGACCCTAATGTCCAAGTGTGGTGTCCTGTAACTTTAACATAACATTGCACTGCCCTCTGTTGGTGTGAAAATATTCCTCCACTCTTGCCTCACTCTGCTCTCACCTCCTCAGGTGTTTCGAGGCTCTGGTGGTCTATTTCAAGGCGGGTAAAAAGGAGGAGCCGTATGTCACCATCTCCAGGAAGATCAGTCTGAAGAAGGGACAGAAGACACCCATGGAGTTGGAGATTGGCCAGTCGGAGCGCAACCTGGCCACTCACAGGAACGCCTTCAAACGCACCGCAGTCATTCAGGCTTTTCTGGGCTCCACGCCTCAGCTGACGCTCCAGCTCTACGCCACCATCCAGGAGAAATATTTCCTCCCTGTGAGATGTAAGAATGATCGATAGGTTAATGCTGCTGTTCCATTATATTTGTACATTAAAAAATCACCACTTCACTGTGTTTATATTCTTGGCATGGGTAAAATACAAAATGAATTAAAAGATTAAATTCTGTGAGGTTAGCAGCTCTTAAAGACAGTGACTCATCATTTTGAATGAACACTGTACAAATAAAATTAAATGTCACAGCCAGTTTTATAGTGTATGTAAATGCAGTGAAGTAAGTGTAAGATTATAACTTCATAAAACTCATAACTCTTTTCTTTTCAATATTTCTCTTCACAAGTATCAAGAAGGCAGTGTCTGTCGAGTTGCATTTTGTTTTTGAAGATATCAGATAAAACTGAGATTGAGATCTGTGGAAGAGAGCTGTGTCATGTCAAACTGAAACACTAGGAAAAGTCGATGGATGCAGCATAGGATAGCCAGGAGGAGGTTATACTGTCTAAATGCATGAAGATATTTTTTCATAATTACTTTTCCTTACTAAGTTTTTACATTTCATTGTCTTGAACTGAATTATGAGAAATTTATTTTGACTTTGAATGGAGTTTTCTAACTCAAGCTCCTTAAAGTGAGTGTGTGTAACTTTTGAAAGAGAAAATAACAAATTTTTCCTCTTAGAAATAAAAAATAATTGATAAGCATTAAAACACATTTGCTCAATTCAGTTTTGCTGCTACAGTCTTACTGGTGTCTTATGTTAGTAAACTTTAGATGGATATTGTATATAGGAGATCAGACCTCAGTCAGGTCACTGACTTCCTGTGGGACTGTGGGACCTCTGTTTTAGCGCTCACCTGCTCTAACCTATAACTTGTGGCCACTGTTCAGCAGAAGTTACAAATTTAAAAACTTTAGACATTTTTTAAAGTGCAGTGATGTGCTGCTTTTAATATAATGAAGGTTAACAGGTGACCTGTGTCTGTATTCACAGTGGCTTTGATGGTCATCACCCTGATCTCCATCATATACGGCGCTCTGGTCTGCAGCGTTCTGGCCATCCAGATCAGATACGACGACTACAAGGTGCGGCTGCGTCCTTTGGCCTACCTGTGCATGATCGTGTGGAGAGGTTTGGAGATCGCCACCCGGATCACCACTCTGGTTCTCTTCAGCACAGCGCTCACACACTGGGTGATCCTCGTCGGCGTGGCTAACCTGCTCTTTTTCTTCTTCCTCCCCTGGGCTGAGTTTTGGGCCAAGAAAGGCTCGCTGACTGAGAACGTGGAGAAAAACTTCTCTAAGCTGGGCACCACGGTGGTGCTGTGTATGTTCACACTGCTCTACGCCTGCATCAACGTTTTCTGCTGGTCGGCGGTGCAGCTAGACTTCTCCCATCGGGAGCTCATCGAGAGGAAGCAGCGCTGGGACCACCTGGCCATCTACTACTGCGGACGCTTTGTTGAGAACTTCATCCTCATCACGCTCTGGTACTTTTTCAAGTCGGACTTCTACGAATATGTGTGCGCCCCGCTGCTGTGCGTCCAGCTGCTGGTCTGCTACAGCCTGGCCGTGCTCTTCATGCTGCTCTTCTACCAGTTCTGCCACCCCTGCAGACGCCTCTTCAAGTACAACGTCCACGACTGCCTGCATTGCGTCTGCTGTCGTAAAGGGACTGGGGGAGGAAGGGGGAGGCGAGGGAAGCCGCCGACCTCGTACTCCACTGCTGCCACCATGGTGCTAGCACCAGAGGAGCCGCTGGAGCTCCTGGACTCCCAAAACTCTCATCACCCCAACAGCAGTCAGCTGGGTGAGCGAGAGACCGCTATTGTTGACGACATAATGGAAGCAGCCTGAGAGCGGCTTTCTGAGGAATTACAAAAAACTCAAGCTCTCTAATGTAGAAATGCATCGTGGGAATAGTGAGACATGATGCTGGTTCTGCAGGGTGCCCAGAAACCAGGTGATTTTATGTTTGTGAGTAAATGAGGTGATGTGTTAGAGAACAAACGTTTGCCCCTTTTCTCTCAAGTGCACTGAACTTCACGTGAGAGGGATTCAGGTTAACTCCTGATGTCCTCATTCAGGATGGTTACGTACACTTAGGGCAACACGAGGCCCCGGTGTGCCAAAGAATGTAGCATGTTGAGATATGCAGCGATGCACAAAGGCCGCCTTGAGAGAGCAGCAGTGGGTCAGGTACAGGACTGAGCCAGGTGTGTGGGAAACGTGCCAAGTGCGTCCGAAGTGCCCAAAAAGACTGACGACTGACCGGGACAACCCCAGTTTACTTCCTCTCATGGTTTTCACACTATGAAAGCCCCCCCCCCCTCCCTTTTGCACACTTCTGCATCTGCACTACATAGACTTAAAAAACAAACACAGAGCAGGAGGTCAAGAAAAGGTAAGAAGAAGAATTTATCTTCCTCATACCCAACTGCATAAACCTGCTGTGATGAATGATGCCTTGTGTTGTTCACTATCCAGACTGGTTGCCTTGATTTAAAATAAATAAATAGATAAAAAAATAAATAAAAAAACAGTTTTTAGTTTTACAAAAACACGTGAAAAAAGTCAGTGAAAATATTCTGCTGAAAGACTTACAAAACCTTTAGGGACTTTCAGGTGTGTATCCTTAAAAAAAACAAAAAAACAATAAACCTACATTTGTTGATGCATTAACAACAGTAGTTACACTGAATGAGCTTCTGTTTTATGTTTGTGCTTTCACGTTCTGCTTATTTTTTATGTTTTGTCTCGTAATGTTTTGTCACAGTTGGTTCAGTGCCTTGACTGCTGCTGTATTACTTGAAACTTAAATAAAATAATCTGATGACTAAACACGTATTCCTGCCTTCCCTTATTCATGAAAAAGAAAACATGACTACACTACATTACAGAAACAATAAAACTTTATATAACCTACTTGTGACGTCACCAGCAGAGTAAAATTTCCTCTATGTTGCAACAGATACTTCCTCATTCCTGACGTTCACACATTTTTTTTTCTCCCAGTCTCAGTTTGTCCAGCAGAGGAATGTGGTTATTCAACTAAGGGATTGCAACTTGTCCCCCACACTTCCTCCACAAGGCGACTGCTGCAAGGTTAGTTTCTCACCTGTGCAGGAGGGAGGAGTCCTGACAGGAAAGTATAAAGTAAAAACAAAAGTCCAAGCAGACTGAGGATGCAGGGAAGCTGCTGCGAGTAAAGATAACGCGCTCAACATGGGGAACTGGATTATCAATCATGGACTTACATCCTTCATACTGGTGAGTTCCTCATATTTACGCTCCAGGAATTCCGTCTTTGAAATCGCATTAACGGTGATAAGAATGAGAATTTACGCACAGCTTTTGTGCGCAAAATGCCCGAGTGTCCAAAAAAATAAAAACGCCATCTAGGATACAAATGCATTTTCCTATGAAAGTCTGCGATAGTTTTGTATTGGAGACATTGATCGTGGCTGTGTTTGCAGGTGGTCTGGATGGGCATCAACATCTTTCTTTTCGTCTGGTTTTACTTCTTCTACGATTTGGGGCCGCAGTTTTTCTACACCCGTCATCTGTTAGGGGTGAGTGGAGAGAACCTCAGCAGCTCCCCGGAGAGCAGGTGTCACATGTGTCACATGTCTTCATTATTTTTCAGTACCAGTACAACGATTTAAAGATTCGCCATTACAAGTGAAAATACAGCACTACAGAAGAACTAGCAAAATGTAGATAAAGTATCAAAAGGTAAAGGACCATTCTGCTGAGAAGTGTCTCATATGAATGAACTGTTATTGTAGATGACATTATTAGATTGTTCATACTTTGTAGTATGAGTAATATACCTGTTGTAGCTGGTCACAGTTTTCTCTAGTATTTGCTTCTGCAGTCACCTTTACTTTGGACCTTTAACAGTCATTTAAATAAAACCATATGGAAATCTGTTTATGGTGGAAGAGCAACAACTCATCTGAAATGTTACAATGTCAAAGGGTAAAAGTAAATTAAAGTAACTAATAACTTGCTATCAGATAAATATAAATGTGCCTGTGTAAAAATAGTGGAGTAGAGGTATAAAGGACAATAAAAAAATGATGTAGTAGTATCAAGTAAATGTACTCAGGTAAGTCAGACTCATGAATAAATGTGTGTTTTGTTTCAGTCGGCCTTGGCGTGGGCCAGAGCTCCTGCTGCCGTCCTCAACTTCAACTGCCTGCTGATCCTCCTCCCGGTGTGCAGGAACCTGCTTTCTCTGATCCGAGGCTCCTTCATGGTAACGTTGCAATAATTGGGCTACATGTCATAGCAGGGCGAGGTGAACTCTCATTGTCTTTAACGCGTGAGTGTTTTTCGTGATGACGCACAACTAGTTTGGCTGCTGCACATCCGGGAAACGTATATGTGATAATTTCACGCCCACCCACCTTACCAAATGTTTCATTTAATGTTATCGTTTATTTTTTCCGGCATTTTTGTGGAGCCAGTGTGTGTGACAGGCTCTGTAAAATGGCTCTTTGAGCAATATTGTTTAAAACAAAGAGGAGTATCACCAGGTCGGATTGGTATCTGGAAAATTTCCTTTGCAAAATATTTTACCGTCCATTTACTTCTTTTCTTTTTCTTTGCAGTGTTGTGGAAGAACAATGAGGAAACAGCTGGATAAAAACCTGAGTTTTCACAAGCTGGTGGCGTACATGATAGGGCTGATGACAGGTGAGCCGGTGCATGCACCGCTTGGAGGCATTTCAACAAGAGGTTTAGGTTTACCTGTGTACTTCAGCTCTCTTAACAAACACACAGCAATAGAAATGAAGCCACCTCACAGAACATTGTTTTTATGCATCGTTAACATTTAAGCTTGTAATGTAGCTCATTTTTGTGCTTCTTGTTTTACCAGTGTCATAGTTGGACATTTTAGACAATGTCAAATTGAATCATTGTCCCCAAGAGATACGTTTCTTCATAAAGGAAAAAAAAAAGAGAGAGGGAAGGAGAAAGTAAACAAATGCAACACAATTCACAGGCTTTCTTCCCTGGTACATTTAGTGCTCAGTTCTGGTGCATTTTCCCACCTGTGCAAACCTTACCTATAGCTTATCAGCGTTGCCCAGATAGTTTACTCAGGGGGTGATACAGAATAGTTGAAAAAAATTATCTTTCTACCTTCCCACCCACGCTCCTCCATCAGCACGTTGACAGACAAACACAGACAAGTCAAAGTGTTCAGAAGAGTCATGCTAACATGTTGACAAGGGGAGAGGGAGGCAAACAAAGTCCAAAATAAATATTGACCTAAGGTCTGTTTAAAAGTGTTCTCTGCATTTCTTTTCAAAGATAAGAGAAAATAACGGCAGCGACTGCAAACAGTTTAAATCCATGGTTTTTAGAACAAAGAGATTTCTTTCTTTTTACTGGTCAGAAGACAATTTTATACAGTTTTCAGTCAAGTCCAAATGACCGGTATTTGTGTGTTTTAATAACCACGTGAAACCTACAGTAATGTGTCTCCTCTCTGTGCTCTGACAGCCGTTCACATGATTGCCCATTTGTTGAACGTGGAGTGGTACAACAACAGCAGACAAGGAGTTTATGACAAACTCAGCACTGCTCTGTCCAACCTGGAGGACACAGACAGCACCACCTACCTGAACCCAATCCGCAAAACAGACATCGTAAGTCATCGGCTCATCATAATGAAACTATCGCAGTGAAATCAGATAAATTCCCAAATGTGGAGATTCAAAATTAGAATCCACTTGTATCTCCTGTTTCTGGGATTTTCTTGCTTTTTCTGTCTTGTTATTAGGTCAGCTGAACGATGATATAGTCATCTCCGAGTTTAGTCAATTTGCCAGTGTTTTTAGACTGTGTCTGAGCGTCCAAACTTCACATTTATGTAGTTTTTAACATGGCAAAAACTGTATTTATCTCACACAAAATGTAAACTCTCAATCTGGAAAAACAAGCTATAAATACAAACTATCCGTCAGACAAATGTGATGGAGTAAAATTACATTTTTATCCCCTGTTTAAAATGTGGTGGAATTAAAGTAGAAAGTATCCCAAGGTGGAAATACTCTGAAGAGAGAATGATTTCATTTAAAACCAGAAATTTCAACCTCATGGTGGTGCTGGATAAAAAGTCAGGAGATCACCAAAGTCAGTGAGATTAATCCTCTGGGGATGATGAATGTCTGAGCCAATTCATCCGATAGTTGTTGAGATATTTCAGTCTGGACCAAAGTGGTGGACCAACCAACTCACTGATGGACAGTCCCATCCTGAAATCCATTAACTTGGCTCATATAAATAAATCTATCTTCTCTCTCCTCTTGTTCTTGTAAACAAAAGCTCATGTGTCCAAATTGTCCTTCTCCTCTTCTTCTTCTTCTTCTTCTTCTTATGTCTCAGGATCCGCAACAGATCCCAACATACTTTGTCTTCACCACCATCGCCGGGCTGACGGGTGTCATCATCACTCTGGCCCTCATCCTCATCATCACCTCCTCCATGGAGGTCATCAGACGCAGCTACTTTGAAGTCTTCTGGTACACGCACCATCTCTTCATCATCTTCTTCGCCGGTCTCGTCTTTCACGGCGCCGGGTAAGGGAGGAGGACTCTGTGTTTGTCTCTTTGTAAGAGGGCGCGGTTGTTGTTGTTGTTGTTGTTATTATTGCAAGCTGGTTTTACTCGTGTGTCTCACCTGCAGACGCATTGTGAGGAGTCAACAGACAACAGACCCGGTGCACAACGTCACCTTTTGTAAAGACCGCAGTGATGAATGGGGACGGATTCCTGAGTGTCCCATCCCTCAGTTTGCCGGAGGGTTCCCACAGGTTTGTCTTTTTCAACTTCAAATGACTTAATCACTACAACTGCTAGAACAGTAGAAGCTTCATCAGTGAATTGTCAGTAATTTCATCACACTTTCTCTTGTTTCTTTTTGGTTTATTTTATAGACGTGGATGTGGGTGATTGGTCCAATGATCCTGTATCTTTGTGAACGTCTGGTGCGCTTCATTCGTTACATGCAGAGAGTCACATACAGGAAGGTACGTTTGATTCCCGATTTAACCTGCTGGCTTCTGAGTCGCTCGGCAAGGCGAGGTTACAGTCACTAAATCGGTTTTGCATCACTTTCAAGATCGTGATGCGGCCGTCCAAAGTGCTGGAGCTGCAGCTGGTAAAGAGCGGTTTCAAGATGGAGGTGGGTCAGTACGTCTTCCTCAACTGCCCGGCCATCTCTCAGCTGGAGTGGCACCCGTTCACCATGACCTCTGCTCCCGAGGAAGACTTCTTCAGCGTCCACATCCGCTCGGCCGGGGACTGGACTGACAAACTCATCGACATCGTGCAGAAGCTACCAGAGGGAGCGCAGGGACCAAAGTAAGTACTTCCTTAAGAAAGAAAAGAAAAATCTGAAAAACAATCTTTTAATTTTGCAGGCTCCGTGGTGGAAATCAACATTCTTTAGAGGCAGTTTGGTCCTTTTGTGCAGCTTTTAAGAGAATTTGATCCGCATTTTGTCAAAAAGAATCCATTTGGTTGATCTGAAATCATCATGAACCACATGCCCCACAGAAATTGCCAGAAGCTTCAACAAATGTCCTGCAGGGCCCCACTATTGCAAAGCTACACGAACACATTACTATAACACAAATAAAACCAACAAAGTTAAAAGTATAAATAATCAAAAACCAAAATACTGGAGAACACATGGAAAGGAAACATTTGTAAAAACCATGCTATGTTCCAGTGTTTCCAATGATACTCATATGATTTGAAATGTAATCACCAAACAACATTACACTCAGGCCTCCACCATCTGTGTGGTTATTAAAGTCAAAAATAAATCCACGCTGCCCCACTTAAAAACCAACAAAACAAACGGCGGGGAGAGGATCTGATTCCTCCTGGCTGTCTGACTTGTGTAACTTTTAAGGGGTTTAAACTGTTTAATCTACCAACCCCTCTTGGTTATGACAGTTATTTTGAGGTCCTGCACAGATGCACAGTTTTGATCACTGGCGATTCAGGAGTATGAATAATCATATTGACCATGTCACATCAGTATGGGTATTTAAAGGACTTGTTATCCATGTTGGCTTAAAAGCTGAGAATGAAAGAACCTGATATGGTTGAAAGCTCCAGAACAGCAACTTAATGGACCTCCTGGTTAGATTATTGCATAATAGTTTGAACTTTGCATTTAAGGATGTGCTGCGTGAACAAGCCCTGGCTGTAAATGTTCCCAAACTGCATACTTGACCCAATTGAAGATAAACAGTAATCAAAAGTTTTCTTAGCTGCTGTGTTCCAAGGTCAACACTGAGCTCATCTGTGCCCGTAACTTCTTCATGTTTTGGATGTCGTCCGTAGTTCATTTGCCCTGATAGCACAGTCTATTCATTGTCTTTGTTCAGAATGGGAGTGGATGGGCCCTTTGGCACAGCCAGCGAGGACGTATTCGACTATGAGGTCAGCATGCTGGTCGGTGCTGGTATCGGAGTCACTCCCTTTGCCTCCATCCTCAAATCCATCTGGTACAAGTTCAAAGAATCCAACCCTAAACTGCGCACCAGGAAGGTAACAACCCAAACGCTTTCATCGTGTCACCATGATCCTGCTTTTCACTTTTAAACCCATGTATCCATTTCACCATGACATGCTATTGTCTCTGAAATACAAAGTACTGTGTGTCTTCTGAATGCACCCATGTCAGAGGAGGAGCCAGCAGCAGCTTTGCCAACTCTTTTGTAAGAGAGAACATTGTTTGACACTCCTGCATCTGCTTCCTGGTTACAGATCTACTTCTACTGGCTTTGCCGGGAAACACACGCCTTTGAGTGGTTTGCCGACCTCCTGCAGGTGCTGGAGAAAGAAATGGAGGAGAGAGGCATGGGGGATTTCCTCACTTACAAACTCTATCTGACCGGATGGGATCAGAGCACTGTGAGTGTGTGAATCACTCCTCAAGTCCAGATAAACAGTGTGAGGTCATTTCAGCCTAAACTCAGCCGCGTTTTCTCCTTTTGTTTTTGCCTCCATATTTCGTCACAGGCTCATCATGTGAGGGTTCGCTTCGATCAGGACACAGATGCGGTCACTGGGCTCAAACAGAAAACTCACTATGGCAGACCCATCTGGGACAAGGAGTTCGAACAAGTCCGCAAAGAGAACCCCACGTAGGATAAAAACCTATTTTTAGAACATTTAATTAATTAATTAATTAATTAATAAAATTCCCGTAGTAGAAAGTCACTAAATACATTTACTCAAGCTCTGTAATTAAGTACAATACTGAGTTGACCTTAATTGTGTGTTTCCTTTTTGAGCAACTTAAAGACAGCACATTATTTCTCTCTGAAATAGTGCAGTAGAAGTGTAAAGCAGCAGAAAATAGCACAACGCTTGAGTAATTCTACTCTAGTTACTTTCCATCACTGCTTGCGATGCGCATTTCACATTAAAACTTTAGCCTCTGAAATCTAACTCTTTTTCTTCTCTTTTCATGCCCTCAGGTCTGTGGTGGGAACTTTCCTATGCGGCCCTGAAGCTCTAGGAAAAGTCTTGGAGAAGAAATGCGTCAAATACTCCGACGTGGATCCTCGGAAGACCAAGTTTTACTTCAACAAGGAGAACTTCTGAGCAGAGAACCCGCAAGTGGGATTTTTTGAAGAGGAAGTTGTTTTTTGTTTTTTTAATTCCATTCACTGTGGGTTAACTATGACAAAGCTACCTGACAACCTGAGGCACTAGCTGGGTGTGTTTTGACACACTATTCTGCACACTGATGAAAAGGCATAGCATGTTTCTATTTCTGTATTACTCAGGGACCAACCTCTTTTTCCATCTTAAACCTTGATAAAAACATGATTCATGACTTACATGCTCAATTAGGCCTGTAAACTCATTGTATCATTAACTTTCTTGTGAAGCCCTTGTAGTTCCTAATGGTCTCACACTTGAACAAGATTATAAGGAAGAATTTTACTGATAAGGAGGAATCAGGACCTCAAGGGTTTTTTTGTCACTGCTGTACATTTGTTAGTTCATCATGTGGAAAACTACCTTTTTTGCACAAAGAAAGATTAACAGTTAAATGAGCTGCTTTCAGGTACATATGGTAAATTACAGTTGACTACTACAGCAGCTAACATTTACCTCCACTGTTGAATAATCTGCCTGTGATTTTCTTGTGAATGTAAAAAAAACAAAACAAATGAAAACTACCCATCAGTTTCTTTTGTCTGTAAAAATGTCTTGTTTTATCCAACCATGAGTCCAAAGCCCACAAAGATTGAGTTGACTTTCCTGTAAGTCAAAGAAAAGCAGCAAATCATCGCATTTAAAGCTGGAACCAGTGAATTTCTATCTATTTGTTTTCTTGCAAAAATGACAAATAATTAAATGAGTGATGATAAATTATTTCCCATCAATCAACCAAGTTGTGAGTGTGAGCAATTTGTCACGCTCTTTTTCCATTTAAGCTTTTCTGGGTAAGCAAATGTTTTTTGAACACGATTTGTTATAACCTGTTAAACTGGCTGCTATTTCCTCATCTGAATGATAGACTGTCAGTCACGTAGCCTGGTTCCAATCATCCTTCTAAGACTAGGAGCAGCTTGGTAATTGACATTATTTCACAATCTACTGTTTTTAATAGAATTTTCTTGTATATATTCCCAACTCTTTTTGAATAAATGATGAATAAAAACAGCCTTTTTTTCCCATTTTTATTGACAAAACAATATCCAGACAATCAGAGCAATAACATGAAAACAGTTGGCTCTGGAGGAAAAGAATGAAACCTCATGACATTTCAGCTCTGTTCAGCATTCACCGCCATCATCATCCTTTCAAAAGTGTTGCTTGTTTTTGAATCCGCAAGCCACTTTACTCTTTCATACCGAAAACAGACAATACGATTTAAAAAAAAAAACTATACAATTTTCCAAACTAAGATGAGGTGTCTTCAGACATGTTGAAGCTGAAGGTGATGGGGTGTGGTGGAGTCCTGAAACAAAAATGTTTCGTGACAAAAAGAAAAATGTATAAACGAGGAGGGAAAACAAAAACGACAAAGCAAGAATGTTTCCTTATAACTGAATTTTCCTTTAAGGATAGAAATTTGAGTGACTTGATAGAAGAAAAAAAGAATCTCCACCTCTGTCCCTTTTCTCAGTCGGGACCGTCATGGCGCCCCTCCTGCAGTCTTCTGAATCTGCTCTTTGAGGATGAGGATGCTCTGCCGCTGCTCCGGGGGCAACATGGCGATCTGTTCTGGGGTCAGCTGCAGGACTTGCATGATCAGGGCAGCCTTGAAAAGATGAACAATTGTCAGTAAAATGTGAAAACAAAAAGACTATGAAAATGAGTGCGCTTCTTTCGTAACAGGAAAGTCATGAATACCTCCTTTATTTTGGTAAGCCAAACAATTCCTGCTGCATTTACACAAGACCTGTTTTGTTCCTCAGGTGATACATACTCAGAATGACTTGCAATCAGTGAATGAGAATGCAAACAGGGATTAGCATTTTAAACAGAGGTACTTCAACTAGCTGCTGATGCACACAGATGATACTCCTTGTCCAGCTGGTTATTGACCAACGTCCATTTTATTTGTGTCTTTGGCAGCAGACCTAAAATGTTTCCATATTATCATGAAGGTTACTCAAAGTGAGTGTTTGCCCAGTTTGTTATAATACAGGGGTGACAGATAAAGTGACACTAACCTTCTCCTGGTCCTGTGTGGAGACCTGGCTCTGCCCTGGACTGAAGCCGCCTCCTGATGGTGGAGCACCAGAAAGACCAGGACCCTGCAGGACACACACGCCATTTGTCTTCACCGTTTATCAGCAGGGCAATACTTATCCAGTTTGAGCGGATTGCACTGATTTCTTTTGCATCTTTCAGCCCTCAAGTCACACTCCCATGACTTACAATGTTTGTTTTTTTTTTTAATGTGATGTAAAGTTACTGATTATTTAAACAGTATTTATAGACTAATATGAGTCAAACAAGGGGAGATTAAGATTCCTTGTAGCATTTTAAATTTTCAAACTGTGTTGTCTATAAAAACACTAAATTATTAATCATTCTGTTAAGTCCTGTGTTGATTTAATAAAAATAAAGTAAAACAAGTTTATTTTTCCTGTTTTCTTTGCATAGGGCTCCTTCAACAAAACACAGTCAGTGACAGAATGGAGAGCTCTGTTGGTTGCGTACTGCCAACAATAAAACAAAACAAAAACATTAGGTGCAGCTGTTACCGGTCTTGCAGGCGGAGGAGCGTTTGGACCCATGCTATGAGGAACTGGCCCTTGCATCGCTCCTGCCATGGGAACCCTCTGTGCCGTCACTGGCCCACGAGCGTCCATCGCCCTCGGGTCACGACCTGCAGAGAGAACAAAACCAAACCTTGCTGATTACTGAGTGAATTGTTGGAGTGTAAATTACGTCTCACCGTTTGAACATTAAAACTTGCTAATGTAAAAAGGTGTGTTTATAGCTGAGAGAAGTCAGGCTTTGTTTCTAGAAACATTTTGACATGAATGACATTGAAAATAAATCAGGAAAATAGTGAAAATAAAGAAACCAGACATTTTTTTGTAAGCAGCCAAAAAAAGGAGCATTATTAGAGCAGTCACCTCTGGTTTCCATCGGAGGCCCCCGTGGCTCCATCATCGGGGGCCCTCTGGGGTCACCCATCATGTTTCGTGGTTCACCCATGGGTGGGCCTCTCATGTCCATTGGAGGTCCTCTCATATCTGGAGGGGGTCCACTTGCCATTTGACCCATGTGTACAGGTGGGGCTTGGTGGGGCGGTGGAGCTGCCATGTAGCCCCGGCTGAATGTTCAGACACAAAAGATTATAACAGATTATAAAAGGAGTCTCTTGCGCGTCAGCCCCTGCACTAACCGAGGTCAGTGCTCTCAGAAAAGTACAGGATACTACAAACACTTGGCCCATTGTGACCCATTGAACTGTTTACCAAATAACAACAATTAAATCTTTATAAAGTTAAACTGGCAAAGTCACAGTTACAGTTTTTTGGCATAAGGAAGTGGTGGTTAAAGTTATAATTCTTAAGATTTTTCATGAAATCAATGGTTGGCATTTTTTCAGAGCTTTATCAAGTTACTACTAAAGAAAATGGAACATTTCCTTCTACTGCTGAGGCTTCATGATGCAATACAGCACAGGAGTGCTGGAACAAGAAAGAGCAGAGGACAGAGCTGCACACCTGAAACTTCTCAGCAAGATAACCAACTCATTTCCTGTGCGTAAAACTACTTGCATCATGTGCACCATGAAATCAAATGACGGCTGCAATTACTGACAGACTTCTTCATTAAAACAACCTGTTTGTTTGGCTGCACTGAAAACAGACGCACTACGTTCCCTTGTAGTATTTCACACAAAATAGCTGCTTGAAGACTTTTCGACTCCAGAATTCTGGGATCTGTAGTATTAAACCAGACTACTGTTGAAACTTTCAATTATTTTCATGATCGATTAATCTGCCATTTATTTTCTCAATTAATCACTTAATCATCAAACCTAAAAATAACACCAGAAACCACTGAAAATGCCCATCACAATGTCCTGGAGCACAAGGTGATGTCATTGAAGGTCTTGCTTTGTCCAACCAACAGTTCAAACCCCCAAAATATTCAGTTTAATAAAATGAAAGACCAAGAAATACAGCAGAGTCTCACATTTAAGAAACTGAAACCATCAAATGTTTTTCTGCTTTAAAAATTACTTAAATGTATTTCAGTAGTTGCTGATTTACTTTGTTTGGATCGAATAATTGTTGCAGTTCTCAACTGCACTTGCTGTTACCCCGGTAACCACGGACTGAAATCTTAAGGATTTAATGGCTTAAATTGACACTCCTTTATAATCCACAGAACCTGTTGTATTATTAAGGTAATGCGATGAGTAAAATGACTTACTTGGGGTCTATGACCTCTCCAGTGACAGACAGCAGAGTTCCTCCTCTGGGATCATTAGGACCATCTCCCAGCAGGCCTCTGGGGGGGATTCCACCTGGTCCTGAGAGGAGAAAATCACATGTTGTTACCTATTAGTTGTTTGTATTCATTGACCAGGAAATGTTCCATCACTAATCCATTAAAATGGACTGAAATACAAGCTAAGGAAAACCACACACGAGTAGAAAAGAGGTGATTGTTTGCCCAGGATGGATATTTGAGGAAACAACCAGAGTTGTTTGGTTTTGATAAAGCACACAGTAAAGTACACAGTGACCACAGCAAACTGCCACAGGCCAATGTCACAACACACAGGGAGACATCAGGAGTGTGATCGGGAACACAAAAATGCAGGAAAAAGGTAAGAGAATTGTGGTCTCCCATCAATGTTAAGAGGGAGTAACAGGTTCAAATCACATGCTGTAAAAGCCAATAAATAACATAACAAAAAAATCTATTCCCACACATATACAGAAAACCTGACTTGAATATATTTTCCTACTTGTGTCTTGTAACTCTGATGTAATTTTGCCATTAGAACATCATGACAGGAGGCATGCAGAGAGAAAATAAAGTACATTGGGTGTGTCAGTGTTCAGTCTTGTTAATTATATGTCTAATAACATGAATACTGCAAATGACTACAGCACCTACAGCAATACTATCAAGGAGTAGAGCACAAATTATAATTAAGTTCAATACAACAGGCTTAGAACTGTACGTGACAGTGATTGAAAGACATACACATTCATTTACTCAAATCCTGTCATGTCACCTGTGTCTAACAATAAGTCTAAAAGCTTCAATCATGTTATATAATGCTACTGCATAGCTTTAATGCACTAGAGTGCCATTTAGTGACTGCCTGCGCCAGATAATATTAGAGTTAAACAAAAGCTAAAATGCAGACCGCCTGATGTGGTTTTGAGTTAATTAAAATTAACATTTTGTAAATGACTTCCCAGTAAGGGAAGGTAAAAATCAGTATGGCACAAGTTCCTGGCAGGGTTTATTTGCATTGGACATCAGAGATAATGAAGTCACACTAAATCTAAAAATATGTTTAAAATGTCTGTGTCTTCACTGAGTTATGGCTTTGACACAAATTGCTACCATCTGGGGTAAGGAGTTTTATAGATTCCTATCTTAGTAGCCTCCGTGAGCTGTGAGTCACTGCCAATGCTGCTGCTGCAACTTTTGATCATGTTGATAAGCAGGCAAAACTACAACAACTTCCTGTTGTTTGCATGCACCTGTCCCTTTCACCTCACACAGCATCTCTCACTCACCCCTTCCTCAACTCTCTCCCTCAGTGCCTCCCTTGCAACTCTCCCTTACAGTTTTAATTTTTCGTAGGTATGAACCACCCTGACCCGCTACAAATAGCAGTCAAAAATGATAACAACCTGCCTAAATCTATTTTTTAAACACCCAGCTCAAGATCAGAGTAACACCTGCACATGCACTGCAGGCTGACACCGGACAATCAAGCAGCCAACCAGAGGGGACAATCTGCTGTGCTGAGCTGATGACACCCTGTGGAGCATTTTCAGCTTCCTTCACAGCATCCAAAGGTGCAACACAGAGTATCTTAAGTGCTTTTTTTGTACTGAAGGCCATCAGACCGTAAATTGCAGTCCAACTAGAAGAGTGCTGAAGGCAGAAAGTCTGGTCTGTCTACACAAACTGGCCTCAAATGTATTTGTAGTTTTGTTATCTGGAATTGGCCAAACTATTTCTGCAACCTGTGACAGGTATCCGTGCACCACTTCCTTCTACAAATGCAAAATGTTCTGATAACGATACAAAATATTAAAATCACACAATAATTACCTCTATACGTGTGGTTCCGCTCTCAATATTTTAAAGTTTGGAGTTCTCTTATTTCTATATCATCTTAGTATTGCACTGCAGATCCAGGATCAGGAAGCAGTTTATTTTATTCTGCTGATCCAATCCCAAACTTTTTTTGTGTTTTTTGTTGCCCTCTTATCTCCTCCGCTTATCTAATCGCAGGACCGTTGTTACTTTTTTTTTCTTTTTTGCTTTTTGTGGTGTTAGTGTACTCTGCATTCATTCTGTTGTAGAGAGCTTTGCTGCTACTATCTTCTACACATCCTCAACATTTCTAGTATGAAAATTGCATATTTTTATCTCTATATTCTCATCATTGTGTACTGCTAAAAAACAGTTACATTTGCTCAGACAACAACAGATAAAACTGTTTAACATTGAATTAAAGGTCATGTGAATGTCCAATCTAGCACATATTCAATTTATGTAATGTCCATTAAAAGAAACTTGGCTTTAGCACCAACAAAGTAATCATGCAAAAACACAGGCTCCTGGCCCAAACCTGTATCTGCCTGCGACTCCCATGAGACGGTACATTCTGCTACAGCTATGCTAATGCTCCAAAATCATAATCTTTATATAAAGAGGCCTGATAACAATGGAAAGTGGAATGGCTCATGTTTGATTAAAGTGCACGTGTGGACAAAAAAAAAAAAAAAAGTAGTAAGCTAACACTAAATTCCAGATATCCGTGCTATGTATTTGGACAGTGGCCACTCCATAACAGTCCTATGACCTGACTGCTGAACTGAGGGAATATAGGGATACCTTGAGGGCGCTCGATTGCAGCTTGCCCAGACGATCCTGTGGGAGAATGCTGAAGGTTTCCTGAGCCAGCATTAAAGTGAAAAGAACAGGAGACACAAGACTCAAGAGAGCAAAGCAACACTCACAGAAAAGTTTGAAGCGTGCTCATGAAATCATTGCGTGCGCACACCCACACACTCTCTCTCACACACACACTCTCTCTCACACACACACACACACACACACACACACACACACACACACACACACACACACACACACACACACACACACACACACACACACACACACACACACACACACACACACACACACACCGAGGGGTGAAGAGAGAACTTTTAGAAACTTAACATTAGTAAGTATGTTACATAAAATATCAAATGTTTAGGAAGAAAAAAAAACTGTCTGAGCAAGAGAGATCCTCAAGAGTCAAATAGACTATACCGTTCCTCGCAAAAAGCACCTTGACTAACAAGCCTCTGGTGACACCTAGTGATCCCAGTGAGCCATGACATGTGCAAAGCTTTGACCTAAGATGAGGTAAAGGCATCGATCGTAGTAAGAAAATATTTTTTCAGTATTTTACCTACATTTCTGGTACTGGATGAACTGCAGTGGTGATTGTAGTTTTAAAAAGTACAATTTTACACATTACTCTACAATAACTGAAGAGCAGCTTAAACCATTGTATTACCTGCTACTGATAAAAATGCATGATTGTAAACTTTGTGTGTAATTGCTCCAAGGGTGATGATAGGCATGGTTGCCTGCACCACATTTACAGTTGATGTCACTTTGACTTTTGAATGGAACACATGATATTCAAATATAATTATTATAGATAATATAGATATTCAAAATATATTCAAAAATAAAAACACCAAATTTATATTTAGATTGGCCAAATATATTTTGATGATCTTCCTCAACTGGAAAAGTTGTTAAGTAAAAATACCTTGCAGTGAGAAGGTGGACTTTGTAGTATATGTAAACATGTTGATTCAGTACATAAATATCTATATTATTAAATATTCTTGATTTGATCATTTAATTTACAGACTAAATGTTTGATTTCTGAAAAAGTCAGAAGTTTAAATTGACCAAAATATGCATCTTTGCTTTTCTAATATCAGTAAAACCTGTAGAAATGTTTGTCAAACAACACATAATTCTTAAACCTAAAATTCTTTGCACATCTCATCAGTGAAACTCTACATCAAAAAGTAGCCGAATTAAGCAGAGACTAATAAACCGGAGTCAGCTACAGCATGACAACTGTGTGGCATCAACTGGGCAGATATGACACATCCAAAAATATACCAAAAAAACACTGTGATAAACCTGGAATTACAGGAACACATGATTTTAGCTACTTTAGTAGGTTCTCTTTTTTAGCCTGACTGAAAAGTGGACCAGCAATCAGTTTGTGGTCAAGTGGAAGTGACGCAATGAAACAGTCACACTTCACACATTAACCGTCAAGGACCTTTGTAATTAAAATTTTGGAGCATACATGCTACCACAAGCAGCTCAGATGGTGATGCAGGTATGCATGCAGGTTAATGATTACCTGGAGGTCCAACTGGTCCTGGTCCCGGGCCCGGTCCAGGCATTGGTCCAGGGACAACACCCATGTTGGGGGGCTGCATCATTTGAGGGGCTCCGTTGACATGCATCCCTGGCTGATCATATTCCAAATGATAAATAAACAAATAAAACAAGAAAGAAAACGCAAACAAATTAACCCAAAGATTCATCTTCAGAGACAGACAATCAAGTGGTCTCAGAGCAAACTAGACGTCTGCACCTCCTCCTGGCTCTGTCATGGGAGACTTTGGTTAATCACAGGTCTTTTGAGACAGAGAGAGCGTTACTATTGGCTGTTGTACAAATACGTGTCAATATTGGTGAAGCGTTTCAGAGATGGAGAAAACTTGCTGTACTTCTCCCGGACAGGTAGCAATATCTAAACTTGTTGTAGTGGTTGGTTGTGTAGGTAGATTTACCATGAAAGCAGCCGATGAATGACGATGTTGAATGTTGCTAATAGTTTTAGCCTTCCGCTAACTGCAGCCAAAGGTGTGTAGAGGCACAAGAACTGCGAGAGGGTGGCAGCATTTTCAAATTCTGGCGACTTTTTTTTTCTAGATTTCGGCCTACCTGAGCTTTAAGATGATCAGAGTGGACAAAACCTTATGATAACGTGTTACGTTAGTTAAGTAGTAAACTTTGTAATGATTGTTTGATGATCTCAATGTTTAAATTAATTAAGTTGTGATGTAGATGATGAAATGTAGATTCAAGAGGGGAACCAGACTGTGTGTGATGGGCTATAAACCAGTGAATGTCATTCTTTTTTTCCCTGTACACTGAGTGTACAGTATGTGTTAAGCTACGGCGACATTAAACATCAGTCTGCTGAGTATTTGCTTCATCTCTCATTCGCTTGGATTGAAGCCATAAAAAAGGTCAAATTCATGCACATGTTTCCTGTTTCAGTGAGATCTCCGGTCCAAGTTTACCTTTGTTTCATCAACATACGTAGTAAATTAGAACACAAGCACACTACAAACATTAGTGTTGCTGTCTAACGATGTTTACAGTTTAGATCATGCTGATTAATATCTATTTATTACGCACATCAGTGACATGTCGCTTTTCAGGGCCAAGTGCAGGGAATTTTTCTTGAACAAATTGTAAGTGACCATTACTTCAGAGGGTAAAAGACTGTTCTACTCACCACAGGCTGCGGCTGAGACACTGGCACACTGGGCTGTGCAGGAGGTGGATTGACTGGCGGTGCTCCTCCACCCTGTCCGCTGGGAATCAGGGGCTGGACTGTAGTTTGACGGTGGAGCATTTTCTGTATATGGAGCATATGGAAAAGCATCTGTCAAAAACTGTTTTGGTTCAGAAGTGCAGACTAAATTTTTTTTTTTCCATTATTTTAACCTTGCATCAAATAAAAGTAAAATTTAACTAATCCCCTCATTCTCAATCCGGCTTCTCACCAAGGCGATCTCGGGGTCAACAATCCGCATGACCACTTGGGCCTGCAACAGAGCATAAGCCAGCTGAGGGTTCTGCAGCAGCATGTTCCTTGCCTCCTGGGGACTGTTCTGCACACACAGCTGGAAAGAGAGAAATCAAATTTTCACCAAACAGAATCTTGAAATATGATACTGCAGAATGCATGAAAAATCACAACTGGGCAGCGTAAAAAACAAAAAACAAAAAAAACAAAACAAACTTTGCTCTGCCTTGTTCACAGATTTAAAAAAAGCACCTCATAAAAAACAAAACAAAAAGATTTGTGTGCTTTTACTTCCTGACAGGTTGGACATACCTTCTTCATTTTCTGCCACCCACATATGATTCAGATACATGGTCAATAGCAAAGTGGCTGCATCAGCACAAAACATTTGTTGAAGGAGTGCAACAATATCTGTGGTGTCAGGATCTGAGCCGAAACACTAACACTCTGATCAGCATATGGAGCTGTCCTTCTGACACAAGCTTTGGTGCCACAAAACCCTTTTCCAGTAGTGAGAAAAATGTCTGCAGCGTGTTGTTTCATTGAACTTAATGAAGCAGACTGCCAGCTGTGCAAAGATAAGGCTTCTTTGGCAGAGCTGAGAGAGACAGGCTGTACAGCACAGTCTTCCTTAATGAAAGCAAAGGAAGAGCATCTGCATAGAGTTGTCATCCTGGAGGTGATTCAAACTGAGAGAAAGTAGCTAACTTCTCTCAGGAAAAGCCAAGTTAATCAATTTAAAATGTCTGCAAGTAAAGGAATGTAAAGGAAAAGCTAAATTAGTGTAAGACCTGTATTATTTTTGAAAATGTCCCATGCGAGGAGTCGAAACAGTGGCTAGTAAAAATCTGACAGAGCAAACCAGCCTACCTTCATCTGTTTCATAAGTTCAAACATCTGCTCTGGTGGCAGACTGGCCACAGCTCTGCTGATGGACTCTGGGGCCTCCTCTGGTTGGACACTATCTCCATAAGGAGACTCAATAATGGGGGCTCCTGTTCCCAAACCTGTGTATGACAGACATGGCAGGAAACTGTACCTTTTTTACAGACACTTTTAATCAAAACAAATACAGCACGTTTGACTGAAATAATGACAAGAATAAACACTTACTTTTAAGCTCTTCCTTGTTTTTCTCACTGGCTGCGTTGTCAACACGGAGAGCCCGACCGCTGAACTCTCTCCCGTTCAGGTTCCGCATGGCACTGAGAGCTGTCTCCTGGTCTTGATATTCACAAAAGCCATATCCCTTTGGCTTTCCTGTCTCTCTGTCATATACTAACCTGAAAACCAGAGGACAGAAAGGATGATGACAAATTCCACTTGTTGACAGTTGCCTAACACGAGCTGGGAAGTTCCATTAGAAACTCTTATGCACCTTTAAAACACAAAATCATAGGAGTGTATAACAGATAAGAGGAAAAACAGAGTCTGTCTGCACATTTATTATTAGTGCAACAGCAGCACAAATAGCAGCCTCCAAAATGATCATATAGTTGGATCACCACCTCTTCAACAAAAACTAAATGTTATAACTTTCATGAATGTAGGACTTTATTAGTTATAGCTAGATGTACCTAATAAACCGATAACAGTGAATACAGAGAAAAAAAAGCTCCACCAAAAATTAGGAGATCATGACACAAAAAGACGCAATTATTCTGCCATGTACAGAAAACACACAATATAGCTCAAAAAGCACATTTGTGTTCTTATAAATTATTATTTTTTCTTTTATCATGGGGTTGGATGTGCACACTGTTGACCGCTCGATTGAATGGTTCCCTCTTTCACTCACCTGAAGCTGACAACAAGTCCGACTTCGGAAAAGATGTCTTTCAGCTGTTCTTCTGTGGCTTCATACGGAATGTTTCCCACTAAAATAATAACGAGATATAAGTAAAGTTAATATGGAAATAAAAGTAAAAACAGCTTTTCATTTCAAGACTTATTTTCTCGCTCCGAGTTAAGTTTTGTCCCCTCGTTGCTTAGCTCACAGTGACACTAGCCCAGCTATCTACGTTAGCAAGCCTTCATTCATTAGCCGTTAGTTTATATCGTTACTCTGTATCTAAATAATAAAACGGTCTGTACCGGAGAGAGTAACTGCTACAAACTTACCAAACACTGATCGTAAGGAACGGTCAACGGCTGGATCTCTATTTGCGGCGGCAGCAGCGGCTGCAGCAGCCGCAGCAGCAGCAGCAGCAGCTACGTTCGCCATTTTGGGGACAGAAATGAATGGGACACCAGGAAATTAGAATGAGGCATATCCGTTAGTGGGAAAAGGGCCCACTTTCAAATACCAACAGTGCGACCTTTCTTCACAACTTCAAGGTGGACACTGTCCGCTAACTAAGTTTTTATTTTTCTCTTTAATAATTTACCACCGACGATGAAATGTTGTTTGAGAGCGGGCTGCGCTGAAGAAAAAGGTCAAAGTGGCAAAGTCGTAGGAAAAATAGATGGCGCTGTTGTCCGCGGTTAGCTACTTGTTCTCATTGTGAGACAAAAATATGAAACGCTACAAAAGTCAAACAAGTCACATGCCCTCCAAGATTCAGTGTATGTACAGCAGAGGAATTGGTGAGTATTTTGTAGAGGAAGAATAAGCAAGTTATGTCAACTTAAAGTTGCTTCTTAGCTAATGTCCTTAACTGACAATGTAGCCGTTGGGAATGTGAAGGGGGCTGCTATTGTCAGTGAACACCTGTAAAGTCTGATTAAAGACACGTTTGGGTCAGAGGTGAGACCAGCCCCTTGTAAATGAGGTAATTAATATTAACAAAAACTTAATTTATTAACTGGTTATCCATTTATTGGCATGGACTGTCCGCAGGAAATTGATGTTTGGCTAAATGTATCCATGTACTGTGTGTAGTGAAGCTGTTAGTGAAGTATAAGGTGGTTGGAGTGTTGCACCTGGATAATCACACACCTGTTCACACACTGTGGTTGCTTATTATGAATTACTTAATTGATACATTTAGAATATAGTTTACAGTTGTATGCAAACGTTTGCGCAGTCTTGGGCAAATTACACTATTTGTTGATTTTTGAAGTGAAAAGAAGCAAATGCTTGCAGCAAGCAGACATTAAAAAAGTCTCCAAAATTATACAGAGTTTTGAGTTTTTCTCCAAATGTTGATGTAATGTTACTATTTATTTCACAAACTAAAAAATTTGGGAATTAATTAAAGTAATTGTTATGTCGGTACTTAGTTTCCTGTGCCATAATACACCAAAGTATATTTGTGCATTTACATTTGAAGTCGCTCTTTACAGCTCCTTGTGATATATAGTGGAACCCTTTAAGGAAATTCAGAATTCAAAATCTGTTCCCTGGTGATTGTAGATCACAGGCAGAATTTTGTGTGGCACAATTTCACAGTAGTGTTTAGACAGTGTTAAGAGAATCATAAGAAATCATAAGAAATTCTTATGTTGTAACACCATGTAGGAGACAACTACAACTCTGTTAAGTATGAAAAGTTAATACATTGTGTTTATTAGTTAATAACATTTTACCAATTGTTTTGTGAACATTGCATCATTGTTTGAGTCTATTGCAGTGAAACACTCCAGCCTCCATAAACGTGTACTAACAGGTAATATCAGAACAGTTATGACTTGCCTCACACTCTCTGGACATTGAGTTATGCTTTTAGTGTATAGATTGTCTATCACTACTATATATCCAAAGGCTTACAGGCTAATTTCATGTGGTATGCTTTAGTCATCTTGTTCTTCTTTTTTTTCCTTTTTTTTTTCCGGAGGGTGATTGATGTGGACATGGTCAGATCATATTATTTTGGGCGTGGTTTTGCTTGGCTTTATACAGACAAATTGCTTGGTTGATAGGTCTACAAACTGCATTTTGCGTATTTTTACCAATATAAGTAGGAGGCATGAATACTACTTTGCTATGAAGTTGGGCTCTGCGCAACATGTCTGATATTAGCTGTCAATAGTTGCTTCCTCTTCGAGGACTATTGGTTCGTTGGCTGTTTGTCTTTACATGCAAACAGTTTTTTATGAAAATTGGTACTTTAGGCCTCGGGCCATGAAACAACCAATATCAGACTTTGGTGGTGAAAATATGAACAGAACACAGATAGTAATCTGAATGATAGGGGTATTTTTGCAGTCAGTGAACCTTAATACATTTTAATACTTAATATAAAAAATGTAGTTAGGCATACTTTGTGAGGTTTTGTGCCATAACACATAACCGTGTTTAACTAGTGGAGCTGTTTTCTTGGTTAATCTTTTTTTAAATTCACCAAATACATAAAATATCAGAAACACTTCATATTCTAGCATTCGATTTGTTGTTGTTGCAAAATGTAGAAATGCCAGTCACATGGAGAGACCAAACAACATCAAAAGTTGGCAGTTTTCCCTGTAACATTTGTGCAGTCCTGATGAATGCAATCAATGGGATAAGGCTAATTATTACCTTTGCCAAGGAGGTTATGTTTTCCCGTGTCTGTATATTTGTCCACAGGATTATGTAAAAAGCACTGAACCGGTTTGTGATGTGGCATGGGCCAGGGAAGAGCCCATTAAATCTTGGGGCAGACTGGGATCATTTACTATGAATTTTAATTTTTTTAATCTTAAATCTGGTAGTCTGTGCTCTCTGAGTACCCTTCTACTTAGGGCTGCAACTAACGAAATTAATTGATTATGAAAATGGTTGATGAAACAAACTAGTTTTCTGTCATTTGACTGAGCTGAGTTGTTGTATTGGATTGCATTAGATTTTTTTAGGTGCCTAATAATGTGGCCACTGAGTGTATTTTCTAACTTTCCCCAGCTGATCATTTTGTATTGTCATATGAATAAATTTCAATTGAATTATTTCCAAACACTTTATAATACAGCCTGCAATTTTCAGTGTCATTTCATAGTATGAATAACATACCAATAAAATACCTACAATTCCACTTCTTACTGAAACATAGGAACAAGACTATGGCGAACAAGGGAGTAACAACGAGACATTTTAGAGGAAAGGAGAAATAAATTATACAGTTATAATTTTTTGCAAATACTAGGTACCTACAGGATACAGTGCTACAGTGCTACACTGCTACGGTGCTAGGAAACAATTTTCTTATTGTTTAATTAAAGAGCACAAAAAGGGAGAACAGCCACACATTATGTTACAGCACACATACTTATACTTATTCTTACCATGTGTGCTGAAAAGAATGAAAATAATAATCATTAGGTTCCTCATTAAACATTAAACATTAGCCATGTTTGATCCACCTACGGCTGTATATTGTATTATTAAATGTTTCTATTATGTTGTAGGTTTTCCTCCTTAGATGACAATAGTAACCTTCCACAGCTGTGCCTTTGACAAAGGTACTTTTGTTTTCTACTCCAGTTTACCTGTTCTGAGCTGCTGCTGTGTTGGACCAACATGCCTGCAAGCAGATTTTCAAAATTAAAGTCCCACTTCTTGCCTTGTCCTTATCCCAAATCATACAGTGAAGCAGAAGACATGATAATAAATCCCTGTAGTGTGGGTGTAATTGAGTGCCCCTCTTTTATATTTTATTGTATATTTCCTCCTAAACACCACAATATTTGTTAATGAGTGAAACTACAAATGTGAATTTTACAACACACAGTAAGGAAAATGTATGTGGACTGTAATAATATATGGCCATTTCCCCATTTTGTTATTTAATTACTCTTGGAAAACAGTATTCTCCCCCCCTTTTCCAAAGCTTCAATTTCCAATACCCTGTAGGTACCATTTTGCAAACATATTTATGAATTTGTTTTATTTCTGCTCCCTCTAAAAGGCTCATTTGTTGCTTCGAACAGTCTTTTCCTCCACTTTAGAGAAACAGTTGAAAGCACTATTTTTTAGCATTTCATTCGTACACTGAAATTACTCTGTAAATTGATGAACCCTAACTCGAGGCCTTTTCAGGACAGAAAACAACGCTTGGTTCCACTGGGGCTCGAACCCAGGACCTTCTGCGTGTAAAGCAGACGTGATAACCGCTACACTATGGAACCAGCTGATCATGACGGAAGCCGGGCGTCTTTATAAAGACATGCCACGATACGTGTGGTTGGATAGAATGTGGTTATGGCGTTCAGTTCAGTCCAGTCTTTGCGATATGATAAAAACAGGATACGCGGACAGTCCGCTGATAGTCACTGCGCATTTCTTAGCTTATCCTTCATGGCTGCAGGCTGCGGTCTAGCGAAACAAAATATCGGTCAGCTTCAGTCTCCCCACGAAGTCATCTCGCTTGGATATTAACCAAACGTTACGTTTAAGCTGCTGGTGGTTTGGTTTAGTTGTGAGTCGAGCCTCCCTGGGACGTTTTACTTGTGTAGCGGATCACGGTAGCTAACATCAATCAACCGAGCTGCCAGCTGTGAACTGAAATAATCATGCTGGACGAATCGCCTGGATTTGTCCGTCTCTCCTGTCTGCCGCCTGTGTGCACAGGAACTACCATGCTGAGGAGTAAGGGTTTGTAGTTTGAAAAGCTGACCTTCAAACTTGTGATTTTAACAATATTAACTTGTGTAAACGTCGTTTCCCACAGAACACGACTGACGCTTAGGTCATTTAGCTTATGACAGTACTCAGGGTATTGTCAAAAAGACTGAGTTGTCATAAAGTACGATAAGAGCTGCCTGAGAGTGAGACCTCACTCATTAGAAATTCAAAGTTGATTGTAGGACATTAATACATACCATTCGACCTAATATATACTGTAATTTTCCCACATATGCAGTATACTTTTAAAGTTCCCATACAGCGTACTAACACACAATGCTTCACAATAACAGTGACTGTGTACACTGCTATTTAGTCAACCAGTGTTTTGTTTATGTTTAATATTTTACAACTGAAACACAGCCCACCTCAAAGGTTTAAAAATTACAGTCACCTGTTGTATGTGGTATTTAGTCAAGCAAAATAACACTGTAGAGAGTAACAATATAACTGAGTATTCAGTTTCTTAAACAAGCTACTTAATGTGTAGGCTGATGCATCTACAGCTGTAAGGTCCTTTTCTGTAGCAGGCCAGTTGAGATTGTTTTCTAACCCACATGCTGTGCACCAGCCATTTTATCATTACTCCTACTTGGAAAAAAGGCAGTATAAAGGAAAGTTGACATAGTTGATATATTCATAAATTTGCATCTTAAAAATTGTCTATCTGTACAGTTTTTATACCAAAGAG